CGTATGTGACAGAGCAGCCTTAGTCTTTTTCTTTCTTTGAGCTTTCTGGTCATTGTTAGTCTCGTGTCACAGGTGTGGGTTTGCTGACAGTCAACTGAGAACAAATCTCTGTGGGCAGCAGACAGACAAAGGACACGGGAATGGAAAGATCCAGAGTGGTGATGGTGGGAGGTGCTTGGAAGGGGGCAGGGGCTCTCAAAGGTTAAGAGAGGAGAGAACGCAAATCTGTATCTACTTCATGTAGGGACATGGAGTGTTGAGGAGTAGGTCATTTCTAGGTCTTATCTGAGTTTAGAGCACTTGTGCCCTTGAATCCCAGCCAGAACTTCCACGGACCTCCCCTAAAATATTCAGAATCTAGACCCCACCCTTGGCATTTCTGAGTTCAGGGTATGTCTCAATCTCTTCCCATGCACACAGGAGGGCCTATTAGTCTGTGTAGGATTCCCAGTGGGCAGGCCACTCCCAGTGGCCTGCCTCCCCCAATGCCCCTTCTACTTCTGAGGGAGGCCCTCATCATCTCCCATCTAATGTTTCCTTTTCTTTTTCTTTTTTTCTTCTGTCTAATATTTCTTAAGCATATTGCCCATGTTCCACACCATGTTATCCCAGCTCCCCACTTCCATTCACATTACAGCTGACTGGACAGGAATGCACACTTCCACATTGGGCAGTCAATCTCTAGTCTGGCCAGTGACCTACAAGGTAGTCTAGAATGCCAAGTCTCAGCCCATTAGGAATTTGAATATGGAGAGTCTGAATTTTGACAGACGTGGAGATGGGCATCAAGATAGAGACAATGGAGACTGAAATAGCAACGGAGTGTTCCTGGGAGGTACATGAGTTGGGAAGATGCGTGGCCTCCAAGGAGATAGAATGGAATACGAGTGAGCCAAAATTATGGGCTAGCCAAAAGTCAACCAACACAATAGAGAAGAGTCACAGGGAGGAGCAGGAGAAGAGAGGAGACAGGTTATTAGTCACCCTAGAAGTGGGGACACATGCCTGTCTTCTCCAAGGGGAGAATGACACAGCCTGCAGCTTAGTGATTCACTGTTTTCTCTGATCTCCGAACCTCACTTCCAGGGTGCCACAGTCTGGGCTGCCAGCTGTTTCTGGGATTCTGCAAGATTTCTAACACCTTACTCCCGGCTGTTTCCTTACAAAAAGACCCCCTCATTGGTGCATCTCTTTCCTGCATGGAAGGATCTGAGGAGAAAGGGAAAACAATCCCAGGCCATGCAAATGAGTTTTCTGCAGGGCAATATGATCTCTTTTTCATCAATGCAAAGCTTTTGCTGGATAAAATCTCAGAGCAAGGACTTTAACAATGCTTCAACTGTGCAAGAGAACCCCTCTCTGTCTGGGGGATGCGAATGTCCTAACGGAAGCAATAAGTTAATTCCCAAACAAGTTATTCGTTTCACTCTTTACCCTCAATAGAAGCCTCGGGTGGTCTGAGCAGGAAAATTAACAAGGGCGCTTATCACAGTCACATGGCTCCCCATCACCAGAGGATGATCGGAATCTGGAGAGGTTGCTGGAGATAATAGGGGATTTGCCAGATGAATTTTGGAAAAGCTCCTTAGACCAGGCTTTCTTAAACTGTAGTGTATCTAAGAATCTCCTGGGAATTTTTTTAAGAATGCAGATTCTGTTCAATGTGTCTGGGGTGGGGCCCGAGAGTCTGCTTTTTCTAACAAGCTCCAACAAGAGCTGATGCCATTAGTCTGGGAATGACGCTCAGAGGAGCAGACAGTGATAGGACCCCTGCTGCCTGTGTGAAGAAAAGCCACTCATCGTAACAACATGTCATTAGTGCTCATTAAAATACATGCATGAGTCATGGCCTCTGAGGGTCTGAGAGCAATTCCATGTCACTTGATAGGGAACATAAATGAAGCAGCTCTTAATCCCTTTAGTAAAGAAGAAGATACTTGAAAACTTATCCCCAAATTCCAAAAACTATTAAGAAACTGATGTCAGTATTTTTCTTTCTTAGCAAATTTGTAGTTTCGGGGCTAGAAGAACAGATAGGCTGAAGGACTAGGCAGGAAGGCTGGAGGATACTCAGAGATAATTGCAGCTGGCAGATTTACTTCATGAATAACCCTTAACGTTTCACAATGAGGAAGAGGGGAACCATCCAGAACTCAGTGCATCACATGGAAACAGGTTCCACTTCAGACGAGGAGTTTAACACTTCAATCCCTCTCCCTCATACTGACTAATCACACTTGTTTTATAAAACCATGCAAGAAGGTGGGTATCTAATTTGAGTTGTGCAGACTTACTAGTTGTTTCAAAAGACTCAATATTTTTTAATGTTTGTTTTTGAGAGAGAGAGAGAGAGAGTGGGCGGTTGGGCAGAGAGAGAGGGAGACACAGACTCTGAATCAAAAGATTCTTAAAAGCCTTGGAAGTGACTATGTCCATTGTCTAGGGTGGACCATGGGGAGGGGCGGAGCATACATGGGTTGACTATACACATGAGTGTAAGGACTCCTTCTCAGGTATTGTAGACCATGTACAAGATTACTACCCCCGAAAGGGGGTGAGACTTGATTATGCCTGGGATTGGCTCAGTCTCAAAGTCAACCAGGAGCCCTGCAGATGCCTTTCCAGCCTGCCAACCATCCACCCACCATCCTTAGAATCCCACCGCCTTCTGTGATATAACCTGGAAAACTACACAAGCCATGGACATTGCCTGCAGATTGTCGAGGGCTGCAGTAGGTACCCTAAAGGTGGTGAGATCATCCTTGGGTCAGATGTTGGCTGAATGCCAGGATGCCATTGGCATTATACTTCAGGAAGTGGACACTCATCTTGGGCACCATGGAGATTTGAGACATTTACCCAATTATCATCCTTATTGCCCCAGGACTTCTGGCAGGATGACCAACTCTTTTTTGTTTGCCTGGAACTTTCCTTTTCTCAGCAGAAGAAGTCACATTCCCCAGGAAATCTCCAGTCACCCGGTGAGGTCTGGGTGGTGAAGAAATCATGTGAGAAGACACAAAAGGAAGAGAAAAGCCCAAGGAGTTTTTCTGGATCCTAACAGTGACTTAGGAATTGGGATTTATTTGCAAAGTTATTAAAGGGAAAAGTATTAGAGGACAGGCTTGCGTGTTAAGACTGATTAGGAAGGTTTTCCTATAATGGGCTGAGCTGCTACTGGAAGGTGTTTTATTTTAATGACCTCACCATTTGCTTTCCAACATCACTGAAATGACAAAGGGAGACATGTTCCCTTGTGTTTGTTTAGTAGATGAGAGCTTGACCATCAACTCCAATCCACTTTTGAAGGTGAGGCCGATAAGAAAATCGTGTAAGAAGCACCAAGAGATAAAAAGAATTAGCACTCTCATTGAACCTACTTAATCAGGCCACAAACCTTAGAATTCATTTTCTGAAACCAAAGGTGTAAAACGAACCAAATTCCACACTAATCCTAAATTTGATATTTAAAGAAAAGAGAGCCAGAGAAAATCTTGATGGAAGTCCACATTGGACCAGTCACTAACTTCAAGCTCTTAAAACAACCAGGCACTAAAATTCTAAAAATACCAAGCCATAATAAAGATATCATAAGCCTGATTGTTTGGACTCTGACTTTGGCGTCTGTTTTAACCAAACAAGATTAATTCATGACCTAGGAGCTCCATGAGCTTATGTTTATTTATAATATTCAATATTCACATAAGCACAAATGTTCCAAATGGAAGGTTGCATTTTGATAATGCCCATTTCTTCATTAAGATTTCATCATGCACCTACATTAGAAAGCCTCTCCCTACACTTTGTTACTTCTGCTTTTTACCTTGTTTATTCCTGCCTTATTTGCTTAATCTTGAGATCCTGGCTCCCAGGCACTCTCAAATTTGAAAGAAGTAAAGTTTGTGCATTAGCGTGTCCTGGGCATGCATGATTTATGAATGGCAGGTTTCCTGGCACAATTTAATGGTATAAGACAGACTTTGTTTTAAACATTAAAGTGAAAGTCACGAAGTGGCAACGCTAGGTGGGATATTAGAACATACAGTGTATAAGAAAGTTTGGGTCAAGAGTTAACCAGTTCTTACGTGGTCAATTTCTTATTTGACATTTGACCAACTACCAAAAGTACTTTAAATTGTTATTCTGATAACTTATACAATTGAACTCTCACTCTGTAAAAAGACCCCACATTTTTTAATTGCTAAGATTCATATCAATGGAGAAAACAAACACCTTTCAGCAGTCCAAAACCAATTTGTCTTCTTTTTGTTAGGCATCCTAATAATATATTCAGGCCATTTTTCACCATATAATTCTTCCTCTAACAGAATCTTTTGTAAATCAGTCTATCAACCAGTGTTACCAAATCTTTTAAAGAAAAGTGAAAACTTTTATAGTACCAAGAGAACTATCCTTCTAGAGTACAATGAGGTCAGCCATTGTTATACGCCCATGGAATATAAAGCCTCGATATACAAGTCTATCTTTCTCATCATAAAGTATGATCTCAAGTAAAATAATTTCTGTTTAATAATCGTAATTAAAAGTACTTAGTAAGATAATACTTAAATTAAGACTTCCAAATGGTACCTTGTATTTGAGATGTTCCAACCGCTTGCCACAGAAACAAATAATGCCTAACTGTTCTTTGCAGATGGCTATATTGAAGAACTCATGAGATCGTAACTCAGGTCCTCCAATAACAACACAATAATTTTACATCTAAATCTTTGATTTGTTGTGCAATGATTGCTCACAAGTGACTCCAGAAGACCTGAAAGGTTTCAAATCACTGTTGGGAAACAAGGACTGATAAAGCCCATGGTTTGACCAAGCTTGGGATTCACAGACCACTTGAAACTTTGCTGCCTACACAAGCCTTCCATCTCCTCAATAGTGGAAGTAACTCTGAACTACATTCGCCACTGGGCACTTGAGCACCTCAGAGAACACTGGCCAGTGGATTGAGCCCAACATGGCACATGGAGACAATGGGTTACCTTGTAGATTTTGCAATGGCAGAGTCATAATGCCTCCGGCCGCAGCTGCTGCTACCAGCCCTTGGATGTTGGTGAGATTCGCGGTAGGCAGTGTGAGGACCAGTCCTTGTTGTCCTCCTAGCTGTCCGGCCATGTTGAAGGGGATGAGGATAGGCTGGTTGAGGGCTGGCGTGCCTCCCGGCATCACGCCAGCGACAGCAGAGGCTAACTGTTGTGCTGTCAGAAGTGGCTGCAAGGAAACAGATAATCCTAGCTCACTTTCCAGTGGAACCAAGCAGGACATGGCCTTTTAGAGCATTTTCCTTTACTTAAGCAGGGTCAGAAATCTCCTGAACAAGTAGCAAAGAAGCATGCTCTATTCCAAAATGAACTAGTAGAAAAAAAATTGAAATCACATTTCATTTATTTCTTTGGAAAATTTCATTTGGTCTGGATTTCTTTTCAGGACGTCAAATACCTTTTAAAGTAATACCTTACACTTATGTATTATACTTCCAATGAATTTTCATTTGATCTTACCCTTATATATTTGAAATTCTCTGCTAATTTGTTCTGTGTTGTTCCAGAAAGAACTCATTGGCATCAGGGGATTTTTTTTTTTTTGGCTCAAAAGTAGCAATAAAATACTATTTTTTATTTATTAACTTATCAAAAATAATGTAAAAGAGTTACAGCATGCTGGTAAGTCTGTAGTGACACCATTATGTGGATTTAGGACATGTACTCAATCGTAAGTCTTTTGGAAAGTAATTTGGAAATCTATATCAAGAATTGCAAAAATATTCAACCCCTTTTGACTCAGAACATACTCCAGGGATACAGCCTGAAGATATTATTCAAAAAGACAAAGGAGAGGATCCTGGGTGGCTCAATTGGTTAACCATCCAAATCTCGGTTCTGGTTCAGGTCATGATCTCATGGTTCGTGAGTTCAAGCACCACATAGGGCTCTGCGCTGAGAGGGCAGAGTGTGCTTTGGATTTTCTCATTCCCTCTCTCTCTGCCCCTCCTGCTCTCTCTCTCTCTCTCTCTCTCTCTCTCTCTCTCTCAGAATACATGAACTTAAAAAATTGTTTAAAAAATTGCAAAAAGACAAAAGATAAATGAAAATATGCATTACATTTTAAAATATATAAATGCTGAAGCATACTTTGTTATAGTACTAAGCCTGACAAGATATAACCTAATCGTTAAAGTGGGTCATTATGGCACCTCTTTAGAAAAATGGAAAATGTTTATAAAATGAGAATACATTAAAAAAACTGGATAATCATTAAGCAATGATAATGCAATCATTAAAATGGTGAAGTCGTGTGTGGATGATTAAGATATCTGAAAAAAAAAACTACAGAAAAGCGAAAATATTTGATGTGGCTAATTTAGAAAATCTTTTATAGATGTCTCCTGTTATTACTCTAACATTCCTTGCTCAGTTCATACAACATTCCAAACATATGTTTGTATCCACTATTTATCCAATAGTCATTGTTTGATCTGGAAAGGCAGACTCATCAGTGTGCGCTTTGGGCCCCAGACATGTTTGAGCCCGAGTGTGGGCTTTCCACCAGGATGACCTAGGAGAGATTCTTGTCCTGGTCAGGCCAAATGACTAGAAGGTATTTGATCTTACAGTTCTTTATCTGGCACTTTCGTTGCACCCTTTTGGGGAACCATGTGACACATAATCCCATGTCTATTTTTCTTCTAGTGGAACCAATACAAAACTCTTACTGTGGGGTTTCAACTTCTGTGTGTTTAATACAGAATGATTCCATAAAGTAAGAGGTAATTAAATACAGGCATAGCACAAAGCCTAATAAATTATAGCCGGGCACTATTCTAATATTGCTGTGCATGTGTTAGTGCAGTTGTCCTGCCAATGAGATCCAGAGAGATTAGTAACTTGCCCCAAGTCCCATATCTGGTGATTGTAGGGGGTTCATGTGAGGGCAGACTGCTTCAGAGCCCATGGCTCGCCCCTTTCTCACCATCCCCTCTCAATACACAGAACTGTTTTAGAGAGGGATGAAGGGAGGAGGGCTGAACCCACCCTCTGGCCACTGCCTACAGCAACCCTGCATAGCTCCTTCCAGGGAGGCTTCTGGACAAGCCCTGGGACATCAAGTAGCCTGGTTTTAGACAACTGGTCCAGACTCCACAGGCCTAGCTCCTGATGTATTTGTTAGACTCTACTCAATTTACAAAGTAACTGTCTCTCTTTAAAAAAAAATAAATAAAATTGGGAGTGCCTGGGTGGCTTAGTCGGTTGAGCGTCCGACTTCGGCTCAGGTCATGATCTCATAGTTTGTGAGTTTGAGCCCTGCATCAGGCTCTGTGCTGACAGCTCGGAGCCTGGACCCTGCTTCGGATTCTGTGTCTGCCTCTCCCATGCTCATGCTCTGTCTCTCTCTGTCTCTCAATAATAAGTAAAAATGTTAAAAAAATTTTTTTAATTACTCTAAAGACAAAATAAACGTATTTTTTAGGAATAAGTACAAAATTATAAACTGGTGCTCAGATCGCTGATGTGACACCACTGTCAACAGTAACATCATAATAAGAAGGAAGGAAAATGACTGGTTCTTAGACTGTACAGGACACAGAGTTGGGGGTTTGAGCACGTAGTATTTTTTTTTTTTTAATTGAATCCTCGGGGTTAAAGCAGGGCATGCCTTCTCCCTTTGTCACAATGCCCACCCACGCTTCTCACTGTCTGGGTCTGTCATTCACTTATCTGACCCGGAGGCATGAGTTTGTCAGCCCTGGTATGTTCACACACACGCACACGCACATACACACGCACACAGTGTCACAAGCATGAAATCAGAAAAGGTATGGCCGGAAGAAGTCGTCTTCCAAGATTCCCAGTAGAATCCTCTATGGGCTTCCATAGGCGAAGAGACACCTCCCCAGGCTTTCTGTCCTTGAGCACCAAGGCATCGTGGTGCTCAGACATTAGGACCCGAGACAGACATTAGGACTTGGTGGCAGCTGGAACAAGAAAGCCAAGACCACCACCCAAGCCCTTAAACTTGGGTTTTCAAGTCTTCAATTGGTGAGCCCTCAAAGTGATGAAAGTGATTAATTTTCAGGAACAACCATGACAGCAAAAGAGAGAGAAATGCTCACATATGAGCTTCTTTTCCCATAAAAGCAGGTGAACTCTGAAAGCTTTCACATTAAGTGACAGAGATAAAAAAAAAAAAAAAAAACCAAAAAACAATAATAGCAAAGAGCCCAGCTTTTATAATTGTGTTCTACATCTCCATATAACCACACCAGGCTGCAAGAAACAAATATTGGACTTTAAAAAATAATGAATGTATTTCTTTATTAATGCAAGAGCTGTATGTGATGTACAGTATTGTCAAACCCAATAAGCTGAACTTGCATTAAAATTGCATTAACTTTTTTATATTAAATCACATCTTGTATTTCAAAAATGGCTATCGTAAGGTTGAAATAACTTAATTTTCTTCACACTCCAGTCATTAAAGTTTTACTTTCTAGAAGGCTGCATAGTAACCAACATGGTTGAAGTGGATTTCAAGGGAAAAAAAATATTCCAAATGATTAAAACCAATATTTCCTTTAAAAAGAGAGTTCTGTGCACACTTTTTTTCTTGATGGTATTTAATAAATAATGTAGTCACACAGTTTCCCATACGAAAATTTATCGCCATGTGTGCTCTGTTGGAGTTGATTGGATTTAACTCATTATTATTTATTTGGTTATTTATATGGTTGAACCACCCTAAACGCAGCCCTAATGGAAAGTAGTTGAGAGATACTGACCTGTGGCCCAACCGGGAAAGGGAGGTGGGTCTGACTGCCTTGGTGTTGGTCAGGAGTGCCTGGGTCTGATAGTGCTGGGTTTCCTCTGGCCCCTGGAATTCAAAACAGAAGCACTCCCTTAATATAAGATCCAGCCCGGGAATGCACATGACCCCGTTTTCCTGTGATGTCACATAACATTAAGGTACAGACATGCCAGAGTGGTTTATCAATAGCTCCAGTGCTCAAATCACTTGTCAACTGCATAAATTATGCTAACGGATATTCAGGATGGCCAGTCATTCCGAGAGGGAGAAGGCTGTGATGGGGGGGAACGCGACACCATCATCAGCCGCACTAACAGGCTTGCGTGAGCCATCATTTTGCATGGGGGATGCCAATGCGTTGCATGGGTGGGAGACTGCCTCCTTTATGCACAGGCGGGCAACAGCTAATCTAATTTCCCAAAGCCAGAGAAAGCGTGATCCCAGACATGACCAAGTACATCTATATTATCCCCTAATATAGCTTCATACCCTTAAGCCTTTTCTCCAGGCACATTTCAGACACCAAATCTCAGGAATGTGTTTTCCTAAAGACAGACTTTTGCAATCACCTTAGGTGATACCCTGAAGAGCATGTGGGTCTCCTGAAGCAAGTTTTCTGGATGCTAATTGAAACAGCATGAATTCCTCGCTAACTCCAGGGACCCCCCGCTATGCTAAGCACAGGACACAACTCACTTCCTTTGCTTGGAATCCTGTTGGACTCCAAAGCATGAAAAATGAAATGCCACCAAAAGAGCAAGTCTTTCAAACCTTGGGTTTTTTTTTTTTTAATTGTTTTTAAATGTTTATTTTTGAGAGAGAAAGAGACAGAGTGCGAGCAGGGGAGGGGCAGAGAGCGAGGAAGACACAGAATCCAAAGCAGGCTCCAGGCTCTGAGCTGTCAGCACAGAGCTGGACATGGGGCTCGAACTCATGAACCGTGAGATCATGACCTGAGCTCAAGTCGACGCTTAACTGACTGAGCCACCCAGGCGCTCCCAGACCTTCTTAAACAGTACAACATCTCTGTCTGTGCTTCTGGCTGTTGTTTCAGGACAGACCGGAGCAGGAGCGCAGTGGCAGTAACAATAAATAGATGAATAAGTAAGCAAAACAAAACAAAAAATAAATAAATAAAGCTAGCAGCAATTTTTGAAGGGTTTTACTTGGTAACTTTTGTTTTCTTGGTGGTTGAAATCCAATTCCAAGCCACCCTTAACGAGATCCTCTTTCCTGATGTTTGTCCTATGAATAGCAATTGGAAAAGACAATTCAAACCCTGTTTACTGGCAGGCCGTGGACGACCAAGAAAAAAAGATGATTCTGTCACGCTTATAAATTTTAAAGAAGGTATTATTGGCTCATTTAAAACAAATTCTTCTATATATTCTCCAAAGGGACAGACTTATAAATAATGGAAATGTGGGAAAAAAATACTCCAGCACATTAAGCTACAAATAAAATTGACTGCTACATATTATTCAATTGACTTCTATCTCCACTGTGAGGTGTCAATCATAACCACATTTTATAATAGGATTAAGCAATAAATGTGCAAAGCCATTATGCAGAACTCTGAAAATCTGATTAATTTGTAATATTTTTTTTGTGCAGAAAGTCAGGAATGGACATTGCTTGGGGAATACGTACAAGCGTTCTATTGAAATTCCTAAATTGATTTGGAACAAACTAATAAAAACACAGACTTGCTGACATTTTATAAAGTGAATTCTGTCAAAATATGTTTGGCATTTTAATGATCGCTGTCATTTAATAACAAGGGTAAGATGACCCATCATAAGATATCAACAATTTCCTCATAATGTGCAGGAGACCTTTCTTCTAAATTTTTTATATGCGATTTACTCATTATGCTTGAGTAGCAGGGCACTTTAAACTGTGCACTATGCGGGGTGAATCTCATATGTTCTGTTCTTGTAGAACTAAGTCCAATTTCACCTTAAAATTCTCAGTAGAGCTTTATGGACTTTTATTGACCAAACCCAGCTCCCTAAGTGTGGTGTTTGGTCACTTAGGTATGTTCTCAAACAGCTAAAAATCCACTTTGGTGTAGTTTTTGAAGACACTTTAAAATTTGGGGTGGTTTCCTCATACTCACAGGGCATGGATTTTTACGCCAGACAGAGAAAGGAAAGTTTTACAAAACAAAGGAAAGGAGAAAGCCCCCTTTTCCACAATAAAAACGTGTGTATGTCTTAATTAAAAAAAAAAAAAATTTCTATACTGTGTCAGGCCCTCCTGCCTCAAATTTCTTTCACGTGAACCAGGCTCACTTTTGGACCCTGTTCGTAATGATATGCCGTCGTAAGGTTTAGGATCTGGCCCATCCAGGCATTGTGTCATCAACAAGCGTGCTTGCTGCCCGTAACTTTACACCGATTACATTTGCTTACATTTTATTCTTTGTTGCTGGAGGCCCTCACCAGCACACAGCAGCTTGTTTTGAGGCTGGTTATTCTCAGAAACCATGTTCAGCGCAGTACAGGGCAATTCCACACAATTTCATGTGTAAAATGAAGTCTTTCACAGGCTTTAGAGGAGATTATGTATGCTCTCCTGCTTGGATCAGAAAGTAATGTTTCTTCTTAATGCGCATCTCCATTTTCCCGAAACACATGTATCATGCTTAACCTTGTAGGACCATAAACTCATCTGTCTGGTCGGAAGGCAGTTCCCAAATTGGGGGCCTTATCGGAGCCAGAGTGGGGAATCCAGCAGTCAGAATGAATAGATGACACTGGCGAAGGGTTTCTAAGAGATTTGAAGCAGCACTTAGCCACGCGTTAGCAGAGATTTGAGGTCACCTATTTCCACAGCCAGGGATGTGAAAACATGAACTTAAACGGGCTGGGCAGGTTCCTCTGATCAGGATCCTAGGAAACATGCTACCTCTCTTGGAGAGCAAGGATATCCAGAAAGCTCTCTGTGACCTGTTCCGAATTTAGTAGCCTGCACTTTTCAGGCAGTGACTGCGAGCTTCAACAGAGCAGACTCACCACTGCACACCCAGGCCCTGATGCAGGCGTGTCATTTGCATCGATTGAATGTAATCAGTGGAAAGAGAGATTTGGCTTTTAATTTGGGGGTGGTAGAATTCCTATAAGATAGGCACTGGCATCCACCTGACTGTTTACTAGTGGTTAGTATAAACCTTGGAAATATCTTTAAATTATTAGCTTATTGGCAAAGTCCATCTCAATTCCAATTTAGATACAAAAAGCAGTTTGGTGTAGGGTGCCTGGGTGGTTCAGCTGGTTGAGTGTCTGACTCTTAATTTCAGCTCAGGTCGTGATCCCATGGTCGTGGGATCAAGTCCTGTGTTGGGCGCCATGCTGAGCATGGAGCCTGCTTAAGAGTCTCTCTGTCTCCCCCGCTCTGCCCCTCTCCCCCACTTTCTCTCTCTAAAATAAAATAATAAAATAAATATAATTTTAAAAAGAAAAAGCAGTTTGGTGTACAGGTTTCAAGCAAGGGCTCTTTTAAATTTTAAACTCTGCCTGGGTTTACCTCTGCCACTTAACCAGGTATGTGAACTTAGACTTGTTTTCCAACTTTTTTATGCATCAGCTATCTCCTGTAAACGTTCAAAATAATAACAGGGCCTCCCTCATAGGGTTGCTGTTGTAAGGACTAAATGAGCACATGTATTTATAAATTTCTTGGAACAGTGCATGTTTGTCACATACGTGCTAATTCTGTTGACTACTATTATTTAATAAGCTTCAATTTGTAATTTAATGTATTTAATATTATTCAATTTGCCCATAACATTCACCTGCCCCGAGTCAACTCAATACCTACTCCAGTCCCTATATGTGCATGCTACCTTAACTGTGCTACCCTAACTGTGTACTCCGTACCATTTGGTGAATGTCTGCTACTGAACTTTAAGAGCCTACGAAGCTAGACGTTTACATATAACATGTCCTTCAGTCCATGATAATGTGATCAGAAAATATGGCAAAACAATACTGGCAAACAGCTTTCAAATTCTCAGACCAGGGCTTAGACCAGTAGTTCCTGCCCAGGCTGAGAATCTTGGGTTCGTGGAATTTCTTGGACACAGGGGTTCACATTGCTCATGAGGCGATGGATGAAACAGCCCAGGGGTGGCGGTGGCTCCCATGTGCATTTTATAAAACCCACCAGTGATTGAGGACCACGGGGTGGGGGGTGGGACAACGTGCTGTCGATGCTGCCCACGCAAATCTGAATCTCCTTCCACTGAGGAACCATATATGATTAGTTCTGTGAATAGCAGAGTAGCATCAGCTGGCATTGCCTCCTTGCCTGCCAAGTGTCTTCACCTGGAAGATTCTTCCATTTTATCCTGGTTGCCTTCTAGCTTAGCAAGGGGAAGAATCATCTCAGATACATCTATTTTGTAATTATGATTTGTTCACAGGTAGTCCAAGGAGTGTAAAAACGGATTTTAAAGGGATCATAATATAAAATTCTAAATAGCTATACAATAGGAGTCAGTTCTCTGTATATACAGGGATCCCTAGCATAAGTCTGCTATGGAAAGGAAAGGTCATAAATGGTGAAGACATTGAAAGACTGATTAGGAGTTATGCTAAGATAAAACTTATTTTTAACTGTTAAGATGTTTGCTTCCCAGAGCATTGGTTCATTCAACACCATCTTCCGGGTGTCAATCTCACATCTGAAATCTGCAAGGCTGTCTGCAGATCTCTCTGCTCTGGAGGGACCAGACTGTCCACAGAACTGAGAGGGGGACACCCAGATCCTGGTCTCCTCCCTTTGGCCCCTTCCTCAGGGGACAGCCTTGCAAGCTCCACGCTCCCACCCAGCTCAAGCTGTGAGCTCCTGAATGACCGGCACTGTGTTCCTCATAGCAGGTTAGTTTTCTTTTGCAAATTCTCTTCCTCTTCCCTACTCCCCTTCCTCCCCCTCCTCCCCTTTCTCCTCCTCCTTCTCCTCCTTCTTCCTCTTCCTCTTCCTCTTCTCCTCCTCCTCCTCCTTTTCCTTCTTTTTCTTTTTTGGGTACGATGCATTTTCATTAAATAAGGCAAGCCAAGGCT